TGAGCCCGACCTTTGCCTTTAAGCAGAATCCAAGGTGAGAAAACCAATAGGTAAGGCATCCATCCGGGACTCTTTCCGGAGAGGGTGAGGCAGAGAGAGTTGGATTATTCGGACCGAGTGTGGGAACGGTTGTATCACAGGGGAATCGTTAAAGAGTGCGTTCTGAGAGTGGTTGTAGGGACGGGAGTTAATAACGCACTTTTGCTTCTTCGGGTAACTTTGTATTTTCCAGAAGGTCGCTTCTTTACTTCGAGAGGAGTGCACTTTCTGGGTAGCCACCGAGGCTGCCACTGCCCCACTGGCTGAAAATAAACTGTCCTATTATGATCCTGACGATCAACAAGAGCAAAAGGTACGTTGTTTTATCCATGCAAGTTGTACATGCTGCAACAATGGTCTAATAATTATTACGTTTTATTACCATCTAGTTAAAAAATACCGCTCACTTTCCGAAACTCTTTCATTTACCAACGCTCTGTCCGTTTGGTCTTATAAACACTATCATTAAGTGTGCATTTCATTGTTGTTTACCTAAATATATTGATTTCAGTTTACTGGGAATTTGCGAGATTACGAATTTTTCAAGCAATGGGTGACTGACAAATGCATACCTCTAGTTCGGTGAGTTGACATCGGTATATCGTCTGCTTTTATGGTTCAACAGAGCCAATTTGTCCATCGTCTAAGATCTATCAAGATTTCCGACTCATTCCCCGTGATAAGTAGGTCTGTTAGGAGTATCCACCATCAAACGTACCTTGTTCGAGGCCGCTTGCAAGCACCTCAAACCCTAGTTCATCCCTTCCAATGTCATTTCTCTTGAGTTGCAACTTTTACTTCTACTTTTACATTCGTTAACCTGCAATTCGAGGTTTCCCTTCTTTCAGTTTCCCCCGCAGACATACACGTAGGTGTGTAACAACAATTACGATCAAAATTACTTCGAAGAGAAACAGCTCCTGAGAGATCGAAACAAAGCTTTTTTCTGCGTAGGATACGCCCGTCGCTTCATATTTTTAGTAGGACCTTACACTGTGGCAGTCCACACTCACCAAGAGGCTACTCTGGCTGCTGATCCCTCGCCGTCGACTTCATCCATTTAGCATATAAGCAGAGTAGAACTAGCACGTTTATGACTTCAGCAATAATGACGCCCGCCCAAAGCGGAAATCAAAGGTTTCATTATTTTTGGTTCTCCACCGTTTCCCTTGCCCTTTATTTCCTCACCACTTCTTCCGGCAGTCATCTTTACTGTTCCAAGCGGGCGAAAAATTCATCGGCAGCTTCAATGTAGAGTGAAGAATTAGACTAGAAACCTTGATAAACTTGCCTTCAAGAGAACTAATCATTTACATATCTCTGTGGTTTATTGGTCGTAGATTAACATATTCACGACGACGTCCCTTTTGCACTTTTTGGTCGCGTGGGACGGACGCGATTTTGTGGGAAGATAATTTCTACTATGTCCAATGCGTAAAGATTATCTAAACATATAACAGTAGGATTTCGATCAGAACGACAAATAGTGGTTACGAAAAGAGAGCATTTATTCACTTTCCCCGTGAAGGAATTTAAAAGCATTTTACACTCGATTACGAGGTTTGCCCACCTATCTGTCCATTCCTAGCGCCTGCAAGCGATTATCAGTATATGGGCTGCCATCGTCCCAGGACCGCATGTTGTTGGCAGTCCATATTGGCGGCCATCGGCGTGAATGTGTTAAACAGTCTATGAGTGTCGGCTGCTATTTTCGCTTAAACACACCTTCACCCGTCTTTTGAAGCAGGGTGAATAACGGTCGAGGAAATCCTCGACAGGGGGTCGTATTTGCTCCGATGAGAGTTGGGAGGGGGTCGTAATCAAAAGGTTCATCAACGGACACAACGGTGCTGCTGCCACTTATTTGCTGTCATCATTACTTTCACAAGTGTTGTAGTTAGCCTAATGCAAATAATATCTTACACCTGTCTGGAATTAAAATTCAAATGGAAAGTGGGTGTTGGTTTGGTTCGTAGTGATCAGTGTGGCATAGGAAGGCAACGCGTCCTGCAAAAGAATCGTAGGGAAAGGGCAGCGAGTATCTACTCTAGAATGATGCACATGCTTCGAGAACTTAGTGGAGGAACAGCATCTTGGTAGAAAGTTCAAAACAGGCAGATTCGCAGCCTTCTTGGCATCATCAGATCCTGCAACCGCAAGCGTGTCATTCATCAGAACGGGTTGGAAAGGAAGCGATTTCAATAAAGGAATAATCAGACATCACTATGACTACAAGAGTCATCCTAATTAGTTAATACTGGAAATATCTTTTGGTGTGCTTAAGGAAGTCGTCACTAAGAAACACCTTCCCAATGACTCCGAGTGGGGTCACTGCATGGCGCATACAAGGAACGGAATGGATCCGCGCCAGGTGCATCATTTTCAATTTACTCCATCAAACTGACGTGTATAGAAGTATTTTGAAGGTGTTCAAAGAAGTCCCTACTACGGCGAGGGAGTAATAGAGTTTTCGAGTGGCTTCGAAAATTTCCTTGACATTTCCTCGACGCAGATTTCTCGCGAACTAGAAAGCGTTCGAAACAAATGGAGCACCTGTTAGAAAGCGTGAATCTTCTACTTTACAACGCTTTCTCGGATTTTCAAAGCATTGCCAATGAAGACAGCTACTGTCTTCCTAAGAGTGGGAACTCGCATGTAAATTTCAATTTCCTCGACAATTTCTCGACGTCTCCCACTCTCGAGAATAGGCGTGCTTAGAAAAACGCTCAGCACAATTTAGAAACTAGAAGTCTTGTGCATTCAAAAGCTGCCTTCACTTTTTGAAATGGTTATCAATGAAGAAAGTTATAGTCCTTTAAATAGGGGGTACATTTGACGATTTTTCCAACTAGCGCGCTCTAGGCACAGCGCGCGACGCGATCGCGGGTAGTTAGCGCCGCTATACTGGAGCGCGAGACTGTTCAACTGTGTAGGGGCAGTACCTCTTCAATGTTCCACTTTCCGGCCAATGTGGCAAAGGTTAAATGTCTTTAAAGGAAAGAAAGAATTGAATCTAGCATTTGGATCAAGCCGCATTTGCGTGGCAGCGGCGCTGCGTCCCTCTCGCACATCTGAAACTAGCATTTTTTGATATGAAACCGGATGTGCAGAGGACAAAAAGGGGTCGTATCAGAGTCCATGTTTTGGAGGGGGGTCGTAAAGAGGCGGTTATTTCCTCGACACGATTTTCACCCTGGTGGAGCAGTGTCTCGAACGTGCACTGACTACGTTTCATTTTGCTTCGATTCATCTCGAATAGATCAGGTCCTTCTTGGCTTAGCAGAGGAACCTTGATCTTCTCTCTAAAAAAGGGACTGTTATAATATGTGAGTGCAGTCTGACACATAAAATTGTCCTGTGAGTGCAAGACATTTTTCTTCCCAGTAAATTTAATATCATTAACTGAACCCTTAAGATGAAAATTCGGAAGATTCGAGCGGAAGTGAGCGATCTGAACTCCGTAGCATGCGTTTGGCAGCTCATTCGCGCCTAAACAGTGTGAAATTTGAATTTTCGGCATGGAATTATCAAGGAATATTCTTGGAATGAATCAACTTATGTCGCCCACTGTACCATCGTGGCAATGGCTTTCATATTTGGTCAATTTTCTTGGAGTTTTATTTCTATTTATTGTTTAGACGTTGCTTATATTAGATTGATTTTTCAAATAATTGAATAATAATGTCAGTGACAGTAAACATCTTAGAAACATGAAATTGAAGAGGCTAACCGCAGGAAGGATTGCCATTCTTGCCTCTTCTTCCGTGACTCTAGAAGAAAGACAGATAAGATTTTACGCGAACAAGGTGTGTAATTCTTGTGTGGACAGTATTTTTGACTTTCCAACTGTTTTCCGCGATTTCTGAATCATCCACCCGTATCGGTCTAAGGGCACCTCAAGTTAGACAAGTTAGACAAATCAATCTCACTTGATCTCGTAGGGTAGTGGTCACAGCTAAAGTTGTCCTTCGGCTTGAAATTGCATGTTAAGGGTGCACAGCTCTCTTACGGCCGCTTCATTCCCCTCACTTTTCTACATTCGCAACATGCGGTGTCTGCGCCCTCTCATTCGATGTTTACCCTCGCCTCACCTCTTTTCTCCGCGCTCAAAGTCTCATTGGCCTAGCTCTGCCGGATTACAAAAATGCGGAAGCCTCAGTTCAGCATTTTCAACAGGCTCTATTACTTTTTTCATTACCGGTTACTTCGCATAACTGCCTTTATATTCGTGTGTGAGAACCAGCTCGACTGTGAGATGTGCCTTTGACAGACGACCAAGTCTCTAGTCCTGTTGCTCGATCCTACTTTTAGACTTCCTGGTTACTTATTTATTCGTTCAGGTGATTCGTGAACTTGCTGATCAACGCGCTTCGATCAACCCTCTACTGGCTGACGGGCATAAGTTCGCTCATCCACTCAAGCACCTCGGAAAAACAATGAAGGTGATTTTCTTGTGTACTAAGCTCATCATTGCACTGATGGTAAGTGTGGTGTGACTGCAGTCTACTAACCCATCAAAGCGCTGATTTCACATCCTCATTTTCGGTCCTTAGAGAGTTCTGAAAACTTGATACTGAAAGTGTCGTCTGTTTACTCAATCTTTCGTTCATTTAAGGATCTCCCGGTCCTCGCCATCGACTCTTTCCAACACATGTATCTTTTCCCGGATATGTCTCAACTGACAGTTCCAGGAAAACTGCGAGAGGTCAGCTATCATCTGAATCAATTGAATCGATCAACCATTCATAATTATTTGCTATTTAATTATTTACTAGTTTCTTAAATTTATAGGTCCTTAAACTATTTTTGTTAGCCAAGATTGCAATCATTCGTCTAAGGTAAGGATTTTTCATTACAGTTCGTCATGGATCTTCACTCAGGGAAGCTACATAAGGACTTCCATGAGACTCTTGACCAGAAAATGATCGACCTAGCAAAATTCAAAGCTGAAAATGGAATCACTGACGAAGATTTGGACGATAATCGTGAAGCTGACGTGAGTGCACGTAGTTTTCTAAATATTTTTCTATGCGTTCTGCAACAGGTTACTGTTTTGTTTACTGAAAAGTGGTAAGAGGCGCTGCCGTCTCTGTCGCAATTCGTGGATCAAATCCAGATCGGGTTTTCGTTCATCCAGAAGCTGAGATTCGACAGAAGAGGTTGTGTTGTGGTTAACAGCTTTTGTATGAAAGTCGGCATAATTGGCATACGGCTGCATCTCACGCTCACTGGTGTCGTCTTTTCCGTTATCACATGCGCGCATTGGAGGAAAAAAACTGAGAGCGATGAAATAGTGCAAAAACTGAAAAGTCCATC